ATGATTGGTGTTGGATCGTCAAAAACAAGGTGTTTTCTGGACAATTTTGATTGGCGGGCCGCAAAAACATAGGGTTTTTAATTCATTGTCGCGGGCTGCAAAAAAATCGCTGACGGGCCGTACTTTGCCCACCTGTGCTCTAGTTGAAGCTTCAGGAATACAAAAGACTAACATGGTGTATACATGCAACCTTCAAATGATAAAAAAAACATGCAATTAATTAAGTCCTGTAACTCTTCTTAATTACCGTATTTATTCCAGTAAATTCCCTGCTTTGTATAAACGCCCTTCCCCTCCCCCCATTTCAATATACACCCCCTCTAAAGCCTAATTTGAAATAAATGCCTCCCTCGAAACATGCCCCGGTCGTTCTTTTATTTTTGCCCTTGAATAGACGCCACCAAATGACTGTAAAGAAATCTAATGGAAGCAACATCATTCTCAACACATTCTATTAATGATCTACTACAGCAGAATTACATTTTTCTAACCTGGATGGGATTAATCAATTTTTATGATTACGCAATAACACTTTGGACGGCAATTATGTGTTGTAGTCCCATATTCATAGTTTTTTTAATAGTATATACATTTTACACCAAATAAAATAAACGCCTCCCTTGAATAAACGCCACCCTCGAATAAACTCACCCTCAAAAACCCCCCCCCCCCACCCAAATCCTCAAAACCCTTCTCAACAATAAACACCCTGGGGTATTTATTCGAATAAATACGGTAAGTAAATATCTTGAATCTTATATTGTATTGGCTTTGCAGCCATGGCCATGGGGTATTCTCTTGTGAATTATTAAAGCTTCTTATAAATTTATAATTTTATTTTTTATCTGTGGTCTTGCGCTAACTGTACAAGCCACCTCCTGGGTATGGGAAAGTAAGGTATGTTTCTATAGTAATAACAATTTAATATGAACGCAAACACACAAAAGCAGATGTTTTGCATATTTTGCATTAAATAAATGAGGTTGCTTGGACAACAAACTAACGACAACTTAAGTAACATCTGTTTTCTCTCCTTGCAGGTATTCTTATTTAGTGGATGTGAATTTTTACAAAATTCTTTTTTAAATCCAGTTTTTTTCATGGTATGTAATTTCTTCACCATTTGTCATTTCAAACGTTGCTTCTCTCGTGGTTTTAGGCCAGGCACTCACCACGCTGTACGACGCAACACTGTCTGCTGATTGTCGGTGGGAGTCGGAACAGATCGTCCTTAAAAACTATCCGTTGTGTGTGCTGTGGCATTGCGTTCTCCATTGAATCATGGGCACAGTGAGTTCCCAGTCATCTTCTGTCTCTGGTGTTAGCAGGCAGTAGAGGTGTCTCATTGGTAGTTCTCAAATGTGTTTGTTAAGGGGATCAATAATAATGTTAGTTCTGTAGCTTCTGGAGCACCATATAATTCAATTAAAAGAAAAGAAACATTACTATTCAATTCAGTTCAATTTTTTGACAAATTAAAATACATCATTTGGATTAAAAGGATAAATATTTTTTTTTAAACTGCACGTACAGTATATTAAAAAGTGATTATGTAAAATAGTAATAATAATATTATAATAATAATAATAATGTAGAAAAACTAATGAATCTTTATGATTTTTTGTAGTCATCCATTTCTTTGTCAACTGTAAAGTTGAACCAACTAATCATAATATCCTTGCTGGGCCACTAGGGCTGATAGGGCTGGAGCTCATCCCAGTTTCTGTAGTGTGAAGTGGATGAGAGCATGATAATCCCCCTGGGAGGGATGCTAGTCCACCGCAGGTGAATCCCAGCAATTTTCTGGCACCCATTGTTACAGCTGGGTAGACTGAAGCAATGTAGATAAAGTGCCTCGCTCAAGGAGACAAGCAAAATGCACAGCGAAGGATTGAAACTCCGAACTCAAGGTTGGAAAAACCAAACCATTTCCACTGCGCCAAACCGCTTTCACATTATAATATACAAAGCCAAAAATTGAAATATTAAATTCCATTTTCAAGGTTATTAGGCCAAGTATAAAAATTAATATTATATAATGTGACAGGTTGAGTGCCTACAGATACATCTAGGTATCATTTTCATCAGTCAATCATGGAAGTAATAATTCACCTTAGGCAAAGTTTCATTTTGAGGTGAAATTGGGAAATTAAACGAGAAAAAAAAAGTTTGAAAATAACCTGTAAGCAAATCAACAGAAAGACGAAATAAATGAGAAAACCAAATTGCAATGAGATGTCGATACAGAAATTGTGTGCTGAGGTTAAAGTAAGTCAACAACATGAGATTAACTAAGCTCAAGATTTCAATTGTCTTTATCTGCTCAACCTCAGAGCATAGAAGCGATTTACTAGGATAATCAGAGAAGATTAAACTTTGGACTTTGCTTATAGGCATTTCTTGGGAGAAATTACCTGTAGTATTATTACCTGTGGTGGAAATTCATAGGTTGCTTGGCAGATGATACACTTCAATTGCTTTTTGTATGTACTCAGGCTGTCTGAAGTAGCTTTTTTTCTTATCTCTGAGACAAACAAACAAAAATATAATAGAAACCAGGGGCGGATCCTTAGATGTCCTAAAGGGGGGGGGGGGGGTGAAAGTGGGGCCGATTGAGATAACACTACCCTAGGGGTCCGGGGGGAAAAAAACACACTACATAATTTTGTATCCCCCCAACATTGCATGGAATGGAGTTATGTTAGAAATTTTCAGAAACACTTGAAAATGCAACATACGGTACTGTACCTGTAATAAAGCGGAAATTTCAAAGGGGTGTGTGTTTACATGGCCATGGTCTACAGGATGTTAAATTAAATCAATTTTAAATTTTGATTATCACTTCATTTGTTGATTACATATTTTTTGCCCATCGACTGAGGCCAATTACTTTTGTTTATCTGTTAATTTTTTGTATCATGAAAAAATTAAATCAACATGGTGCTATTCTATTTTTATTGCAGATAGGTGTAGATGGCATTGCTTGGATATGTAATGTGGAAATGAAATTTGTGCCTTGGAGAGACATTCAATGCCTTCTGCAAACTACAGTATAGAACTATTGCATTGATATATTTGATAGCAGTGTACTGAATAGAATTTTGTGGACTCAAAAGAATGCAGAAATTAGGACTAATACGTTCTGTCGTTTAGACACCTGCACCCCAACACCTGTATCCAGTCACGTGAACAATTCCCAGTGATGCCATTGGTTGTGCTTTATCATCTTCAGTATCCCATGATGCAAATTTCAACACTGATAACATTCTCAATTGTTTTGTCTCAGAAATGATTATTGATTTACATAATAATAACTCTCCCCATGAACCTTACCAGGCATTTTATTCCAGAATCATGTTCAAGCCTCTATAATTTTAGGTGTGTAGTTTATTATTTTTCCTGCTGCATGATTTAATGATAATGCTTTGTATAATTATTTTCATTTTATCAAATTATGCATACTTCTGTAAATCATTTAAAACATTTATAATTGAAAGTGTGCTATACATTATAAGTTATTAATTGTTTGTATTTTATCTTTATTGTTGTTTGTTTTTATTTTTAATGTTAGTACTATTATCAGTTTAAAATTTAATAAATTGAAATTATCAATCATCTTCAAGTGTTCGGACATTTATCGTCATAATGCCCACCACTGTCATGAGTACCTATATGACAGTGGTGGGCTTTCCGATGTCAACTCAGATGAACCATGATGGTGAACTTTAGCCTTTGATGATCATTTGGGATTTCCAAAACGGGATGTGCGGGAGTCCGTCGAAAATTGTTAACTAGATCACACAGACTCTCGGCCTCAAGCACCATCACTAACCGTATGACTACACATAATCACGTTCCAAACCAGAATACCGTCAGCATTTTAACCAAAGAATCAGAATGGAACACCAGAATAATCAAAGAAGCCATCAACATAAGACTACACCCCAATACCATGAACAGATATCAGGGCTCACATGAACTGCCACATCAGTAATATCTTAAAAGGATTGGGAGAAGGGCATTTAAAGGAGAATGGGGGTGGACATAAACAATATAACAATATAATAAAACGGCTAGACACTTCTGAAATAAAAATAATGTACCAACTATGGATATCCCTACCCAGACCATACAAACAAACATTACTTACAAGCAAACCCTCACCTAAAACTGAAAATTGAACTTAATAATAAACATTTACATAGCACCAGACGGGTATCCATTTCAATGAAAGTTTGAAGGTTTTTTCTGGCATTATTCAACAGTATAATCTACCTGAAAGAACAACAATTTAATCTTGCTTGTTGTGTACAGTGCATAGTACTTAACCTTAATCATGGTATCGTACTTTCAAATGGAGCTGTATATAAAATATTAACATTTCGATTACGATAGTCGGACTATGTGAACAATCATGTGCAAACATATTAAAATATGTACAGTAATCAGCCTTTAGCAGTATTAGTGTTGTTAAAACCTACTACAGGAAAAAAAACAATAGTGCTTAACATCATTTCATGAATGTAAAGTGTCTAATAACATTTGGTACAAATATACAATGCATACAGTATAAGTTTCTTTTATGATACTTTGCATTCTGTGGGTAATGTTTTCATAATATTTAGCGGCATGTCGATTTTCATATGGACTAAGAAAAAGTATGACACACATAACCTTTTCCCATTTTAAAACCATGGTTCATAAAAATGGGGTTAAATTTTCAGAACAGAGGTGCCTTACACTGCTTGTGACGTTTAAAAAAGTGAGAGAAATTTGTTAAGTAAGAAAGAAAAGGTAATGAAAGAAAATATAGTAAAGGAAAAGAAAGAAATTTGACATTAACTAAAACAATTTTTGAATACCTGCAAAATAGAAAAAACAAACTTATGTTATTACAGCTATCAACCGCATCCCCCACCCTCCAGCCCCTGTACTTGCACCACTGTGAATTTCAAAAAAAAAAACAGAGGCAGCCTAGAAAAGGATATGGGAGAAGAATCTACTTAACAAGTGATTTATTTCAGTTACTTATTGTATTGTTGGATACTGCACCATAAACTCTTCAATTATTGTAGGGCAATGGTCCGCTGATGGGTGCTACACTCTCATTGGCCTTGATAAAGAGTTGTCTGGGTCATGTCACTGATTCGTGGCTTGTACACCAGGCAAGTAGCAACATTAAAACCATGTAATTACCCATTTATCTTCCTGTTAACAACACCCGAGAGACTACCATTTAACCTTCTTTGAGTTCTGTCGCCAAAGGAGTTCTTCAATTCAAACTCAGAAGAGTCAAGACATTATTTTTGTTTTCATATTTCTGATAGATTCTAATAGAGTAGAAATAAATATTACTTGTAAACTATAACTCATTCAAAAATATATAAAATATGGATATTGTTCAACAAGATAATAATTTATTATAGTATTATTATTATTAATTTTATTGTTTGCCCATCGTTTGATTCTACTTTCCTCACATTCCATCCAAAATCAGTGCATTGCTATTTTAATATTATGATAAAAAAAATTATTTATTTTTGCAAATTCCATGCAAATATGTTTCAAATGCATGTTACAAAATAGACAAGAATACAAATTTAGAATATACCATATCGCGCTGCACTTTCCTGATGATGACATAATTAATGTCGAAATATTGAATCCCAACACGATGACGTGCATTTCAATACAGCGAAATTTTACTGGTTCTTATACAAAAAATACATTCTCCATCCAAAAAATACTAGAAACCAATCCTCAAATATATTAATTCCAACATGGAACAATACGTAAGGGAAGAGAACTTTCTAATAGTATTACTGAGCATCAATTCTCTGGAAAGAACTTCCAGTAGATGTCTGCAAACATACCATTCTATTAATTAAGTTGAGTCTCAAAACCTTATAATTTTATTTGTGCTTGTATTTTACCTCTTTTAATTTCTTTCTTTTTCTTGTACTTTTGTAATTTTGTTAATTTATATTTTTTCCAAATCTGGACCTCTAGGATGACCAGTATGTCAATTGTATTGAATGAGCATTCCAGAATAAAGATAGATTAGTATTGTATAGTAAATAGGAATTAAATTTTAGTGTTCAAGATTATTTAATAGCTCAAAAAAGGCAAAGGTCTATATTATTGGCTATTCTGTAGACTGATTTGAGTTATGGTGTTCTCTTCATTTTTGTATTTATCTTGAAGGATTCATTGGAAATAAGGAAAGTTTTTTTGACATTCATGGGTTATCCAAGTGTTATTTATTGCACTGAATAAAGTCAATCAATCAATTAATCATCTTGTGGTTACACAAATGGAGCATATATCAAGAAAAAAGCCCTTGCACTAAATCATGGAGATTCAAGCATCTAATGAACTGGATCCAAATCTATATCAACAGATATATTCAGTACTCTATAAACTTTTTAATTCATTGATGAATATGGTTTGCTTTACATATAATTTTTCAGTCAGTCAATGCTTCAGTATATCAATCTTTCATTCAGTCTTAGAGTCAGTTAAACCAGGGCGATGTAAAAAATAATTATTTTTTACATCTCCCTGGTTAAACAGTCAGTCCGTCCATCAATCCATCTATCCATCAGTCAGTCAGTCTGTCTGTCCATCCACCCATCTATCTATCCAACCATCCATCCATCCATCCATCCAACCACCCATCCACCCATCCATTTATTCATTCATTCATCCATCCATCCATCCAACCATCCATCCAATCATCCATCCATCTATCCTTCAGAGTCAGTCATTCATTCATTCAGTCAGTCAGTCAGTCAGTTATTCAGTTCATCCATCTACCCATCCTTCTGAAAATGTAATCTTGCATTTGCCTATTTTATAGAAATGTATCAATAGGCAGAATTATTTTGGACAATAAAGAGATCTGTATCTGTATTTTATATAGTTATTACTACTAAAGAAAAATTAAAATAATTATGGAACTAAACAATTTGCTCAACTTGTAAAAATTGTAAATGAGGTCAGAAGTTGTTTTTTTCCAGACTTCAGAGGTATAAATAAGAAAAAACTGGCATATCAATTTTATGGTTGCACCAACAATGACTCCCTCGTTAGACCACAGAGGTTTTCTTTTGACTAAAAGGGTGAGTAATCTGGCCCCAGCAATCACCCAATAAATTTATTTCACTCCATCAAAATTAATGGACAACTGCTGTAGATGATGTAGATAAATAGTTGGTTGACCTGCCCAATGGCCACCTAGATCTATCAAGATTAGGAGGTTGACCCTTGACTTACATATGTTGCGCCTATTATATCATAAACTAACCATTTTACTTCTTCTACTATTTGAATTTTATTGAACTGAATTGCCTTGTTTCAATAAAACTCAATTTGGTTTGAACAGTAATGTATACTATTAATTTCATAAAGATCTATATGGGAGGCAATATTTTCCTTAAAAGAAATAGTTATATTTATTTATATTTGTTATATTCAGTTTTATATGATTTTAGTAATTGTTTTACCTCTTGCTATACAAATCAAATATATTGTTTTATTTTTTTATTTTATTCAATATCCAGGTAAACCAATCAAAAAGAAAACATGGGGAGACAAAAGTGAAACGGTCCAGCTGAAATAGTTATATTTATTTATATTTGTTGTATTCAGTTTTATATTATTTTAGTAAATTGTTTTGCCTCTTGCTATATAAATCATATATATTGTATTTATTTTTTTTTTATTTCATTCAATATTCAGGTAAACCAATCACAAAGAAACATGGGAAGACAAAAGTGAAAAGGTCCAGCTGAAATAGTTATATTTATTTATATTTGTTGTATTCAGTTTTATATTATTTTAGTAAATTGTTTTGCCTCTTGCTATATAAATCATATATATTGTATTAATTTTTTTTATTTTATTCAATATCCAGGTAAACCAATCTCAAAGAAACATGGGAAGACAAAAGTGAAAAGGTCCAGCTGATAGTTGCCCTGGGGATTGCCAAGCGTGTTCTATGTATCAGAGTGGCTCTTCTATACTGCACATAATCAAGTTCAAACCAGCACAAATAAAAACACTTTATATATAAAGTTGAAATAATTTGCTTAAAATATTACCATACGATAAAAGGATTAATTACAAGATTTTCAAAATTTTAAAAAGAAAATTAATAGGTAACAATTAAAAATTTCAAA